AAAAATTGATTATTGGTATTGATTATCATCTCAATCGCGGTCACGCTCACATGACATTACAGTTCTTCATCATCACGAAAGTTTATTATCTGCATGCGTTTTAAAGCCATATCAGTCTAAACTTCTGATATATGGTTTTCTGAGGGCACACATCTGAAGCATGAGAACAGAAAGCTGGATTTCATACGGAGTGTCCCGTGAGTATTAAACTACGTTATCTTTCAGGTCTTGTTGCGTTTAAACGGTCAAATACACAGAAGGTTCACACAAACACAGTCGGTAATGTCTGTGAACGTAAGTAAAGAAACCGCATGTGAACATTAGATCTGTGTATTAATGTGAAAGCAGCTTAATATACAGTAGCAGCTACCTGATGCTGTTAATATGAAAAAACAAACAAACAAAAAACTCTTGACTGAATAACTTTTGTAGCTTTAATAAGAATACATTTCTTACTTGAGCGCTGCTGTTAAATGCTCTGGCCAGGAGATAAACATGGCGGACTGTGTCCAGCTCACTGAGGGCGGGTCTATGCTAATAAGGCAGAGTCCATCAGCAGTCGTGGGCGGGGCCTAAGCTTACTGTATGTGACATCACTTTTGGATTTTTACCATTATAGGTTGGTTGTGTTCCAGAAATATATTATATTTTTTTCTCTCAGCTTTCATCATCTCTTATCTGTTCATGACACTAAACGAGGGATCATTAATCTTCTGGCCACTTTACTGATTCCCCTCAGGCGAGAATTCCCAGAATCCCCTGACACTTCCGGCCGATCGTTCATACCTGCTTAGAGGCTCCAGGGGTCGAAACACCTGTCACGGCACACTTGATTTATGTGTCTGTCTGAGGAGTATTAAAATTGGGCGGTAATCAATCTTTGTGTACTCTCGCACACACACAAACACACATGGACATTAGTTGAGTGATCAGTTCATTTGTCATGCTTATAGATGCTTGCATGATGTCTGCAGTTAACCAAGGAGAGAGAATAATCAAAGAGACATTGGAACTAGGGAATATTGGGAATATTGTTGGCTCTGTGACGAGTTGGTTATGTTCCTAAGTAGCTTTGGATAAAAGCGTCTATTAAATGTAAATGTAAAACTGAAAATCCTGATCCTTTGAGAGCTCTGCTAGTTGCTGATTGGTTTATGACAATGGTTTGTTTAACTTTGGTACAATGCTTGAATTCATGGAGAGACTTTAAATGTTTTAAAATTGCTCTTTTTGTTTGAGAGGCACAACATGTCAAGCTTTGACTCAACCACTGGTGTGAATGTAAGACTACCTGTAATATTTATCTGAATATTGGCATGTAGGAGGGACAAAAGGGCTGGTAGGATAGGAAGCCTGTTTGGAAATAATTATTATTATTGTGTTTGGTGCACCTAGTGGCACAGAAATTACACACTTCAGCTTTAATGTATGTTACTTGAGGCCATCAAGCTGTAATTTCCCCCGTCAGTCCTGGTAGCTTGCTTATAGTTCATATGATACACACAAAAACCTTTTCTCTCTTTGTCAAGTCTTTGATTTTAAGTGAAAAACACATCTTTTGCTAAAGAGGAAATAATTATAACACTATAATACTACTAATACTAAACTATAAAATTATGTGGTACTAAAATAAGCGTAATATCTCATCTGCCACTGTCGATGCTACACGTGAGTTGCGATTGGGCAAGATTTGGCTGTGATTGGGTGGTCAAAGACGAACGTGAAGATTATGTTTACATAGAAAAACAATGGAAAAGTAGAGCAGTGGAAAGGAAAACTGTAAGTACCTCACATTTCTATCTTCTATTGCAGTTATATTATTTAGTTGACTCCATCCCAGTTGTTGGTTTCTTCCAAATAGCGTTATGAATAAATGATCTGTAATTAGTATTAAATGTTAATTGTGTGTGCTCACCTCAGACTGCTTTTCAGTGTTCTTTGCCTTCTGATGAGAAAATATGTTAGCCCAGCTGGTTAGACTGTTTACACACTAACAGACATGACTTCAGTCCCAAGAACGTTCAATATAGTGAGATGGAAGAGTATTTTAGAGTGCTACCTTTTTTACTTTAGCTTTCTGCTTCCAGATGTTATTTGCAGCTTAAAATGGCGTCATATGTCTTTAGAAGACTTGGAATATAGAGCACAAGTTGTATGGACTGCATTTATTGTGCTTTTTAATGTATATGTTCCTGAAAAAGCTTGTAAAATTCAAATAGTGAGTTCTGTTGTTGAATATGTAAAAAACTGGTTTGAGACAATTCTTGTGGTTACTGTATAAAACAGAGAGAACAAGCTAATTACTCTCTCATTGGTCGATTGCTCTAGTCTCCGCCCACTGGTCCATCTCATCATTAACAGCTGCTCTGGTGTAGAGAAGGTGTAAAAGCTCTTGTGGTAGATCAGCACATAGACATACATAATAAAGGCTAGATGTCTCGTCCGCGCTGCTGGCCAATGGAGGTCGACGTCCGCACCTGGCGGCCATCTTGTCACAGGCAGCTCGCTCACTCGTAACATTGTGTTTTAATGGTGCATGTACTTTTTAAATAACCATAACTTGCTCGATTTTCTACCGATTTTCAAACGGTTTGGTTTGTTATAAACGTCAGAGATGTAGTTATGACACTGCACACTTATGAATAATAAGTGTATCAATAAATAATCATCCAGAATTATAGCCACGTTAATAACGTTTGTAACAAACCAAACCGTTTGTAAATCCGTCAAGATTTCAACGAGATAAGAGTATTTGTGTTCGTGCTGATCACTCATCTTACATCAGGTACCACAGAGCCCGCCAGAAAGCTTGTCTGTGACAAGATGGCCGCCGGTGATGACGATAGAGACTCCGCCGTAAGACATCTAGCCTTTATTATGGATATCTATGGATCAGCCTCCCCTCATTCTCTGAAACGCTTTATCCATCTTCCCTGCGGTATGCTAATATAATGGTTCCTCCTTTGATCTCGCACCTCTTCAGTGGGTTTCGTTGTTTTGGGTGTCTTTATTAGTTTGGGCCTCTATTTTGGGCTCCTTGTGGTGGGTGTTGAGTCTTCACAACACCACTGAGAAAAACATTCTTCTTTTGAGATGTTGTCTTTGGAGTTTTTCTCCTACTTATTTACCTGCTAGCTAGAATGTCTTGAGTGCAGGTTGCTACACATTATTTTAAAGTAGGGTGATTAAATGGGGTTTTTTTTAGATAGTATTTAATTATTTATTCGGTTAGTTGGTTATTTGTTTAGTTAGTTGGATATTTGGTTAGTTGTTGATTTAGTTTAGTTGGTTATTTTTTTTTTTAGTTATTTAGGTAATTTAATTTTTTTAATTAAAGTGTGACAATTTTTTTATTTATAAATAAATAAAAAAATATTTTTTTTATTGTTTTGTGTCCAAAATGATTGATTCATTAAAAAAAATATATTATTATTATTAGGGCTGAAGAACAATGCGTCAACGTAAGCGTAGATTATTCGATTAATCGATAGATTAATCTTTTGAAAAAAAAAAATCCTTTGTTCCAGCACTAATTAGCTAAAAATGTGTGTATAATAATAATAAAAGCTGTCACTTTAAATGTTACGTTAACCACACATTTACATGTGAATTGTCTGCAATACTTTAAGACACGTTTCAACAAATCATTTTCTTGATCTGTGTTCCTTTTTATTATTTGAGAGCTCAGATTCTGGCTGTAGCGTAAATGCAATTCAGATATAAGCACTTGTCTCACTTTTGGTTGTATAGTAAATTTCATATAAACATTTGCAGTATGTGTGCATGACATCATTCTCAGCTTAATAGCCGTATGGTGAGAGAGTCCAGAGGTTGTAGGCTGTGAGTTTCTGACAGCATTAGTGTTGGCTGACATGTGCTAGAGCTCACTGTGTCGAATCCTCCAGCAAACACACAGAAATCATAATTCTTCCATCAGCACAGGGTTGCCAGGTGAGGTAGGTATGACAACCTGCCAGTTTTATCATGTTTAGCCTTTATCACATCAGCAGACAATTTCCAACCCACCATCTCCCAGTCTTATCTACATCCATGATTTCCTCTTCCCTATTGAACACGGCAGTTTTCCCTCCCGTTGAGCTTGAGAGATATGACTGTATCGTTCACTGCATGTGTGAAGACCTCAGGGTTTTACTGTTTGTGAATGTCACGTCTTTTACTGTCACATTACACTGTTGCTTCATTAATTACTTTATTGGATCAGTTCATTCAGACATTTTAGCTATACTTTTTTAATTAATTATATTTGCTAATTATGTTTGCAATACTACTATTGCTCATATTTCAGGATAGGGATTTGAACAAACTTATGGTGCACCATTTATGCTACGACGTGAATGGATATAAAATCCAGGGATTGGAATATTAGCAATTTCAAAAATCAATTTGGGTTGATTCAATGCAAATAAAATCTGAATTTAAATGTTCGTGGGCCATATATCATAGTGGTAGTACTCAATTACCAGTGTGATTTTAGTATTATTTATACTATAATAGTATTTATGAATATTTATTAAAGAGCTTTTATTTTTATATTTTCAGTTTTTCATTTTAGTTAAGTGGTTGTGGGTAATATTAGGCTAAAAAGCATGCACCAATAAAAAATAACGTTACAAATTATTTTAAGGTGACGTACTTACATTGTACTTACCCAAATAAATATTGAGTAATATTAACTAACTACATGTACTATATAGATATGGTTAGGGATTGGTTTAGGGTTAATTTCTTGTAATAATGCATAATTAACTGTTAATACTAAGTACATGTAGGAACATATAACTATGTCAGCTTAGTGTTTACAAAAATAAAATACAGCAGAAATAGGATGCCATCCTGGCATTTTAGACATCATATTTTCAAGTACAATGCTCTTATCCTAATCTCGCACACCGTTTAGTGTGTATATTATCGAATGGCTCCATCTAACATACCAGATATCCAGCTCTTAACCTTTTGCGTTTACTGTTTTCACCTCACAGTTTTGTGACCGAGAAGGAGAGAGGGAGAACTAGAAGAAAAACTGTGCAGATAAAGTGCTTGTGATGTTGCGTGGGGAAGATGCAGAATATCAGCGGCGCTATCACACTCTGGGCAGTAACACACGCCGCCTCTCCAACCCCGACATGGAGGCCTTCGCTAAACTCCACAAGAGCAGCGACATGGAGCATCAGAGGAACAAATACCCTCCGCAACACGCAGCTACGCTGGTCAACACTAACTGTGCTCGGCAGCAGCAGGTAATGTGTGTGTGTGTGTGTGTGTGTGTACCCTCTTATATAGAGCAGGTCTAGTGGTCAGCGTAAGTGCTCCAGATATGTTGAGGCTTGACGATTGTACCTGTGAGTCGGGTTTGTGTTGACTCAATTCCCCTCCACTTGCTTAGAATCAATGTTTTATGTTCTATCATCATGATGTGTAAATGTTGAAAAGGCCTTTGATTAGTGTTTTTCAGCTTGTACTGGTTTTTGTCCTGTTTTTTTCGGTTCCTCTCTTCTCTCTGTCATACTTCCTCCCACTTCTAATCATCTCTTTCAACATCTTCCTCCTCCTCTTTGCAGTCATTCTTTTCTTTTTTAGTTGTGGAGTGGTTCTTGATAAGTCAACCATCTCTACTGTTATTGCTTGTACTGGGATTGGAACGATGTGTCAGTGTTGTTATTGTTAACTAAAACTAAAGGTACGGTCACTTAGAGAAATTTCAGCAAATTTTGTGGGCTAAAAAGGTCCATTGTTTATTGTCAATAAACTTCTATCTAATTTCTATTTCTATCTATCTATCTATCTATCCATCCATCCATCCATCCATCCATCCATCCGTCCGTCCGTCCGTCCGTCCATCCGTCCGTCCGTCCATCCGTCCATCCATCCATCCATCCATCCATCCGTCCGTCCGTCCGTCCGTCCGTCCGTCCATCCGTCCGTCCGTCCGTCCATCCGTCCATCCATCCATCCATCCATCCAAATTAAGTGCTATCAAATCGATTAATAGCATCTAACATAAAAGTTTGTAAATATATAATATGTATTATATATATATTATAATATATAATATGTATGTATTATAATACACACACACATATATTGTATAAACTGTATATATTTACAAAATTGTATGACATATAACATATATAGCACATATACACTCACCTAAAGGATTATTAGGAACACCATACCAATACTGTGTTTGACCCCCTTTCGCCTTCAGAACTGCCTTAATTCTACGTGGCATTGATTCAACAAGGTGCTGAAAGCATTCTTTAGAAATGTTGGCCCATATTGATAGGATAGCATCTTGCAGTTGATGGAGATTTGTGGGATGCACATCCAGGGCACGAAGCTCCCGTTCCACCACATCCCAAAGATGCTCTATTGGGTTGAGATCGGGTGACTGTGGGGGCCATTTTAGTACAGTGAACTCATTGTCATGTTCAAGAAACCAATTTGAAATGATTCGAGCTTTGTGACATGGTGCATTATCCTGCTGGAAGTAGCCATCAGAGGATGGGTACATGGTGGCCATAAAGGGATGGACATGGTCAGAAACAATGCTCAGGTAGGCCGTGGCATTTAAACGATGCCCAATTGGCACTAAGGGGCCTAAAGTGTGCCAAGAAAACATCCCCCACACCATAACACCACCACCACCAGCCTGCACAGTGGTAACAAGGCATGATGGATCCATGTTCTCATTCTGTTTACGCCAAATTCTGACTCTACCATCTGAATGTCTCAACAGAAATCGAGACTCATCAGACCAGGCAACATTTTTTCCAGTCTTCAACTGTCCAATTTTGGTGAGCTCTTGCAAATTGTAGCCTCTTTTTCCTATTTGTAGTGGAGATGAGTGGTACCCGGTGGGGTCTTCTGCTGTTGTAGCCCATCCGCCTCAAGGTTGTGCGTGTTGTGGCTTCACAAATGCTTTGCTGCATACCTCGGTTGTAACGAGTGGTTATTTCAGTCAAAGTTGCTCTTCTATCAGCTTGAATCAGTCGGCCCATTCTCCTCTGACCTCTAGCATCAACAAGGCATTTTCGCTCACAGGACTGCCGCATACTGGATGTTTTTCCCTTTTCACACCATTCTTTGTAAACCCCAGAAATGGTTGTGCGTGAAAATCCCAGTAACTGAGCAGATTGTGAAATACTCAGACCGGCCCGTCTGGCACCAACAACCATGCCACGCTCAAAATTTCTTAAATCACCTTTCTTTCCCATTCTGACATTCAGTTTGGAGTTCAGGAGATTGTCTTGACCAGGACCACACCCCTAAATGCATTGAAGCAACTGCCATGTGATTGGTTGATTAGATAATTGCATTAATGAGAAATTGAACAGGTGTTCCTAATAATCCTTTAGGTGAGTGTATAACAAAAGTTTGTAAATTATAATAATAATAATAATTGATTACATTTATATAGCACTTTTCTCTGCACTCAAAGCGCTTCACATATGGAAGGGTGAATCTCTTCAACCACCACTAATGTGCAGCATCACCTGGACGATGCGACGGCAGCCATAGTGCGCCAGTACGCCCACCACACACCAGCTTACTGGTGGAGAGGAGACAGAGGGATGAAGCCAATCAGAATATATATATATATATATATATATATATATGGGGATGATTTGGAGGGCATGATGGACAGAGGCCACTGGGCGAATTTGGCCAAGATGCCGGGGTTACACCCCTACTCTTTCGGGATTTTTTGTGACCACAGAGAGTCAGGACCCCGGTTTAACGTCTCATCCGAAGGACGGTGCTCTTTGACAGTAAAGCGCCCCCTGCTGGCCTCACTAACACCTCTTCCAGCAGCAACCAGGTTTTCCCAGGAGTCTCCCACCCAGACCAGGCTCAGCCCTGCTTAGCTTCAGTGGGCACCAGTCTTGGGTTACAGGGTGATATGGCGGCTGGCGTTAATATATATACTGTATATGTTTGCAAAATTATTTTAAATTAGCTTATATTATATATATATATATATATATATATAATATTAATTTAGTCATTTTATGTGCTTTTGTCCTTTTTATTACTTTTTGTTTTTTGACAAATATTTCTAGATAGTTTTCACTTATTTTTTTTATTCAGTTTTAGTTTTATTTCTGTTAGTAATTTTATTAAACGTATTTCAGTTAGTTGGCAAAGTTTAAACAAATTATTTTGTTTAAGTACGTTTTTCATCTAATATTTTTATTTTATTTCAGCTTTTTAACGTGCGATCACATTTTCCATTAAGTGACAAAATTTGGCGGTTGAAATCCGGTCATTTCACGAGATTCAAATAAGAGCGAAAAAGCTCATTTCCGCTCATTTTCAAGTTGGTCACATGACTTCGCTGCGCTGACCAATAGAAGCTTCTTAGATTGAAAGTGACTTCTGTGTGAGCAGTGCTTTTTACATTCCACTATAGCAAAATTATCTTTTATTTCCCCCAAAATGTAACTTAACCTTTTTTTTTTCTTTAACAATAACATTAACATTCTTAAATACCATAGAAACCGCATAGCAACACCCTGGCAACCACCAACAACAGCCTGACATCATGACTGTGGAACTTTTGAATGCTCAAGCACTGAAATTCTCTTCACAAAAGCAAATAGCTTAAATTTGCAGTTATGTGTAAATCCATATTGTCATTTCCTCCTTTCTTTTATCTCTCTCTTTCTCTCTCTCGTGATCTATTCCCTCTTTCTTTTTCCTCCTTGGAATCTATCTATCCTTCCTTCTATTTGCTCTGTATATTTGCCCATTTGGCTGCATCCACCGTCTCCAAACACCACTGGAATGAGAAAGAGAGAGAAGGGAGTCTACCGTTACCATGGCAACCGACCCCATGTAGGGAAATCGATGATATCACATAGCTAGCTGGCATATAGCAGGAGCGTACTGAGACACAGAGGGAGGAAAACCACTGAAGGACAGAGACGACATGAAACGCCATTCGCTTTTTACCTCCATAATGTGACGCGTTTGTGCATGAAACGAGAGAACATGTGGGGCAGGACTTGGCTTTATCATTCAGGAGTCGATTTTACGTACTGTATCGGAATGTGAGTTTGCAGTGGATTGTGGGAGTCTGATCCCCTCCTGAAACTCCACCGGCACACACTTTTGAGGAGGCTTTTTGACCGGGACGTGGAGGCTGAAGGTCAAGTTCACCCTCCCGAGCGTCTTCACGTATCCCAATGGTAATGCTTCTTAAAATGTATTGTTATTCGGTCTTATTGCAATAACCTTAATGTTAACAGGCATTCAATTAGTGCATTAATATTGGCAGATTTCATGCATTACAACAGTACAATGACTAAATAGTTATTTGGCTGTTAGTTAGTTTAATATAGCATTTAACAATTAGCCAAAAGGGAAACTTGTTTTGCACTGGCAATTATGATGACAAAGCGTTTTCTTTGGAAGAACGTGTACCGTAAGACCAGGAGCGCGTATGAAAGAAAATAGGGTCAATTATGATTTCATTGTTGGCTTTGTAGAGTGAGAGGAACTAAGAGGTTATTAGAGTCCATAGATGGAGAAAGTGCAGAAGAGGAGCGGAGAACTAGCAGGAGAGAGTCGAGCGACAATAGAGCGAATTAATTAGGCATGCTATCATACCTTCATCAGTCCATGAGGACACGAGAAACACAGTGAACGGAAAGAAAGAGGGAGAGAGAGACTGACAGCCTGATGTTTCATTGAGGAAGTAATCAGGTGACAGGCAGTAGTGTGTGTGTGTGTGTGTGTGTGTGTGTGTGTATGAACATGTATAATGGTGGGACCTGAAAGCATGATCATTCACATACCGTTTGACTTCTGTATTTTGTCATACTTCTTAATGAAAATGTTCAAGAGAAAAAATGAGTTTGAACTAGAAAATATTGAAAAAGTTGTACTTTAAGATGTAATTCTATTTATTTGTTTCACATAAATATTTTGATTTAATTTAATAATAATAATGATTAATAATAACAATAATAATAATAACTAGTCCTGTCAAATCGATTAATCGTGATTAATCGCATCTAACATAAAAGTTTGTAAATATATAATATTATAATGTGTACGTTTTAAATGTGTACGCCTTGCCTTGCCTATTTTATGGTAAATGCGATTAATGGCTTTGACAGCACTAATAACAACAAAAATTATTATTATTATTTTGAGAGGTTTTTGACATTTTTTTCATCTAGAATAATATTTACTGATGAATTTTCTACAGTAAGTCAGGAATGTGTTTTACAAAAGTAAAGCGGAAAGGGTCACATTTGCATACCATTTTAATTTGATCATTATTTTATTTTATTTTATTATTATATATATATATAAAAATATATTATAATTTTTTTAATAGTTCTAATCAGTTCCAAGGTCATTTTATTTTATGTGTTGCATTAATTTTTATTTAATAATTAGAATAATAATAATAATTCTTGGTCATCTTCTTAGTTTGAGGCCTTTTTGATGTTTTCTTCATGTAGAATAGCTTGCACAGATGAAATGTGCATGATAACATCAGGAATGTGTTTTATGAAAGTAAATAGGGACGATTTTGATTTCACATTGAATTTAATGTATGCTAAATTGTAGTGATGTTGTAGAGGTCTGTGTCGTCATAGCAACGGTGTAGGTGGTTGTATGACATGCAAGTATAGAAGCAGGTGTGGCCTGCCGCAGTGTCTGTGTGTGTGTGTCTGAGAGAGAAACAGACACACACACACACAGAGAGAGAGAGAGAATGATGTCTGTGTGGGTATGTTTGCAAACCAAAGAAAGACAGGAATGTGATGAGAGGAAGGTGGGCTTGCTTGTTGTGTCGGTCAGGGTGGGTCTTCATCTCATTTCTGAGCTACAGTTACTGTAACTAAAAGCCTTCTGCTGCTGTATGTGTGTGTTCTGACGTGTAAATTAGTGTATTAAAAAGTGGCTTCTGGCATTTGCGTTATGCTCTGATGCACACACTTCTGCTGGTCTTAGCGATTAGCTAAATAGTATCTCAGAACGTAGTGACCTAGACAGCATTTTAGGACATCTAAATCGAACAATTGAACGTGTCTGGGTAGAAATGTTTTGCAGGCACTTAATTATGTTTTGAGATGCCTCCAGTATGAGATGTCAAAGAAGCACTTTTTATGTTTTAAATTGGCTGTGTCCAAAGTGAAACATGATGAGGTATCAGGACGTGTCCAGATCCAGGGGTTGCACATCCCGTCTAAGAAGCACAGATGTGCGCTTACTATCATTGTCAGTGATAACCCACAATCCTGTGTGTGTGATGGTTGACTAAAAGAATGAAATTGGTTTTAGATATAAAGTTTAAGAAAAGTACATTTATTTACAGTTGAAAGCATTAATATTTGCTTGGTTGTTTCTAAAGGTCACATGATTGGTTTCAAGATCAGTAAATGTGATGTTGGAAGCCTGAAAATCAATTTCCTTCATGCAAAAAAAACAAAAAAAAAACACTGTTAAGTCAGTAGCCTTTGGTTTTTGACACAATCAAGAACTTTTCTTACTTTTTGTGTGAAATATGAGTATGAAAATGCTTTCTAGGGACTTCCTTGCTTTTCATTGGTTCTATTGGCAAATAGCACCTGTCAATCACAGAACAGAGTTCAAGTATGAGTAAAAGTTTTTGAAAGAAGTCTCTAATGTTAACCAAGGCTGCATTTATTTGATCGAAAAATACAGTAAAAACAGAATTATTGTGAAATATTATTACATTTTAAAATACAGTAGTCAACATTTGAAGTAGATCAAAACCTTTCATCAAAGTTATACATGAATTTTGAACAATACCCGTTCTTGTCGTAGGACAACTTTGATGAACTTTTTGATCCACTTCAAATGTTGACTATTCTTTGTATTGGAAAATATTTTAAAATGTAATTTATTCCTGTGATCAAAGCTGAATTTTCAGCATCATTACTCCAGTCTTCAGTGTCACATGATCCTTCAGAAATCATTCTAATATTCTTATTATTATCAATGTTGAACACATTTCTGCTGCTTAATACGTTTGTAGAAACTGGTAGTTTTTTTCAGGAATCTTTGATGAATAGAAAGATTTTTTGTAACATTATAAATGACTTGTCAGTTTTGATCAATTTAAAGTATTTTACTCCAAACTTATAAATTCTAGTGTATGTGTTTAAATGAATGTAAGTTGCTCCCTTAAATTTTTAAGTACAGTCAACTTGTTTGGATGTTTAAGTCATGTCAACTTAAAATTGCTTATTTTGATGAGTTAAAGCAATGTAAAAACATATGTCATAACTTATTGATCATATATATTTTTACAGATGCAGTATAACTCATTACTCTTTCCCTTCTCTGTCCCTCCTTAATTCTCTTAGCAACCACATTACTGGAGTTTCAAGGTAAGATGTCTCTCCCTCTCCACATCATGCATGTTTATCCGTGTTTCTGCATGTACGTTTGTGTGGTTTAATGATCCTCAAGGAAAAATTCAGATGCAAAACATTACAATATATGCGCACAGTGCACTAAAACTAAACGATGCATGACACAAAATGCCACTGAATGAATGAAATATATGAATACTTCAGCTGGTCTATGAATGGTGAAATGCTGCTCCATCATTCCTCACCGGGAGTAACATTTAGCTTTAAAGCGTGCACACGATGGTTCCTGAAGGACCCCCAGTCAGTGCATACTGCGATAAGCCAGCAGCTCTTTTGATTGTGGAAACTGTATGGCAAATTATTTATTTATAGACTCTATGCATTTCCTGGAAATCCACCTTTAAGACAAACTCCTCCACAAGGTTCCAGTGCACTGACTCACCTCCACTGTAAATGCGACCTACGACACCGGAGTCATTGGGGACTCGTGCAGGTCTTCAAGATGTGAGAAGTGAGAGCAGCTCTTTATCTCCTATCTTTGGCATTGAAACACTTCTGGAACTCCTCCAGACCTGAGATATACCTTTCACAGGCTCAGAGAGAGAGAAAGGACGGGTGTTAAAGGACCCTACAGAGCGTCCTGGGCCTGAGTTTGGTCAAGCCGTACAGCCTTAGGCTACGTCTATCTCATCTGCTTATATTTGTAAACGCATTACTTTTCTCTACACTCTTAGAAGTATAGGTTTTTCCTTTCAGGCATATACAACTTTTTCGTGGTTCCTATCATGGGACCATTTTATGGATTTAGTTTTAATAAAATTTTTATTGTTTTTTTTTATTTTGATTACATTTTATGAATTAAACAGCTCCTAAACATACTGATTTCACAGACAAGGCTTAAGCTAGTCCCAGACTAAAATGCTTTATTGAGCTAACTGAAAGCAACTTGCACTGAGATATTTTAAAATATGTCAGTGCCATTGTTTTGACTCCAGATGCACACCAGTAATGTTTATAGGCACGTTTATAAAAGCTACTTAAATGCCCTAATTGAACTAAGGCCTAATCCTGGCTTAATCTAAGCCCTGTCTGTGAAACCAGGCCACTTTGTTATTATAAAAAATGTAAATAACCCATTGAACACGAGTATTATGCAATTATTTGAGACATTTCTCCTAATATAGAACCTTTTTGGCATAAAGAGGTCTTTAAATATTGAGTCAAGACCCCTACTATCTGATATCAGCTTGCTTCTCAAGTAAAGGATGTTTAAAATTTTGTACTGGAAAACAAGACAAAAATACTTGAATGAGAGCAATTGCGTTTTAGATCATTTTTTTTTTTTTACCTTTATTTAACCAGGAATAGTCCCATTGAGTTACAGTAACTCTTCTCCCAGGGAGTCCTGGCCAAGATAGGTGGCCAAAAAGTTGCAAAGAAAAAAACATTTAAAAAAAAAACAGGACAAAAAAATTACATACTACACAACAAATCTCTATACATAGACTATACATATACAAACAATAAATGGAATGTCGATTAAGTGCGATCTGGACACACCAGTAAGTGGTGAGAAATTTTACTATGATGGTGCCAGAAGAATAGCATGATAACTGTATTATGTCTGGTCTCTCGGGATCATCTCAGTGAGCTTTAATGTACAGTAAGTGATAATGTACATCCAGCCGGTTGTTATCGCAGAATAAACCCCGATGCGAAGCGGAGGTTTAATATTTTATTAGCTCACCTAACGCAAAACTTCCATGAAGAAAAACCGTTCCTATAGCAAGCGTATAGCGCTGACTTTGGTTACCCTATATGAGCCTGTGTTATCAGTTTTTACCGGTTGTTATCGGGGAATAACCTACCGCTGGATGTTGCGATTGACCAATCAGAATCAAGTATTCCACAGGGCCCTGTAATAATGTTTTGCGAATACACAGTAAGATGATTTAAGCATTTTTCAACGTTTCAGTGTGTAAAAGAAACTTGGAAAACTCTAGTGTGGATGGAGAGTATTGTGCAATGAAAAGGCCATTTCCAGTTGTAACCAGATGAAAGTAGACGTAGCCTTAGACGCAATTCAATTCCCCCGGAGAGCGTGACAAACCTTCGATCTGAAGTGTTCCTGAGATTCTTTTCAGCAAAAAACTTCAGCTTTTTCTTAGTCTGCTCTGTCCCTGTCTATTCCTTTGGATGACAATTGTAAGCTTTGACAGGTTCTGGTATGTGGAAAAGCATGGCTGGCTTTGGTTAAATTGGCCCCAGGTGTAACAATGAGCCGACGGCATGCTGGACTACAGGAGAACTGTCCATGATACTTTCATCGCTGCTGGATTTTCTCACATGCGTATGTTAGGTCTGAATATTAATAGTGGATATCAATAATTAATAGATTTGATTCAACATTTTATAATTAGTTGCCATTTAGACACTTCATACTGGGCAATTAAAACTGCATTTATAGCTGGGACAGTTCTGCCTGGGGTAAAGGGTCTTGCTCAAGGACCCAGGGATGTGGCCGATGATCTGGAGATTAATACGCGGGTTTATATCACACTGGGGCGCTTATGTGCAAACGACCCGAGTTTGAGGGTCGTTTCTTGATCCCTGAATCCCTCGTCTCTAAATTGTTTCCTGTCGACCACTGTCCAATCATGTCAAAGGGAAAACATCACATAAAATATTTTAAAAAGGACTCAGTGTTAGCAGGACTTATATCAGAGAGTAAGAAACACTACTGTTAAGAAGAGTTCGGTAAGATGTAATGTTTTGAAAGAAATGCTCACTTTTCTGCTCACTAAGGCTGCATTTATTAAGATAAAAAAAAATACAGTAATATTGTGAAATATTATTAAAATTTAAATGAACTGTTTTCTATTTGAATATATTTCATTTTTAATTTATTCCTGTGACCAAAGCTGAATTTTCAGCATCATTACTCCAGTCTTCAGTGTCACATGATCCTTCAGAAATCATTCTAATATGATGATTTGCTGCTCAAGAAACATTTATTATTATTATCATCAATGTTAAGAACATTGTGCTGCCTCATTTTTCTGTGGAAACTGATAATAATTTTTTCAGGATTCTTTGATGAATAGAAATGTGTGAGCATTATGGGCGATAATCAGAGCGTGAAAAAGTTTTTCAGTCTTTCACTCTCATTAAATAAATAATTAGTTAAATTTACTTAATTTTAAGGCAACGGGTTTACTAAAAGCGAACTGAACACTTTTTTACAGTGTGTACATGTATATTTTTTGTACATCTGTGCATTACACATTTGCATTATTGAATGAGCTTTCAGTTCTTTATATTAAATCAAGTCCCTACAGCTCTGACATACTGCACACAACTACAGTGCCTAAGATGTCAGTCCTGGATTAACATTTTCCTCCCATGATCAATCGATCAGCAGCCTTTGACTGAGGTGAACAATTTTGCATCCGTATGACAGCTGGATCAATATTACAAGGACTGAGTTCCTCGACTTCCCACTAGATGCTGTCTGTAAATCTCAGTTTCCAGGAAAAGTCAAGACGTGAACCAGATCAGATCAGATCAAGGTTGTCTGTCTGTCGGCTACTTTGTTGTGTGTCTGGTGTGGGAGTGTGCGGAGGTTAATTGTCATGAGCGAGAAAGCTTCATATTATAGTATATCATACTCCTATATAAGCCATAAAAGCCTAATGTATCAAATATGATAGATGATCTGTCTATTATTTGATATTTTACAGGATCAAACACTCCCTTGTTGTTGTCAAGTCAATAGCAAACCTCCCTCTCCGGCCACATAAACACACAGCCAGACTTCTCAATCAATGAGCGCTGTCATGTTGATGCTGTCATGCTAATTAATGTGTTTATTAAAGGGAAATGAGGTTAATTCACACTTCTGTCAGGTCCATTAAGTCAAGAACACACAGACAAAATAATTAAGAATTATTTGAATAGATTGCAAACAGGTTGATGTTCCTGAATTGAAATTTGGCGGTATGGCTCTGTTCAGGGAGTCCTCTGACCTTTCATGAGCACCATGAAATAGCAGAGAGTCAGAGGACAGCAGCAGCAGCATTAGGGAACGCTCACACAGTTTTAGACTGTGAGAGCTAAAATATCCCCCTGTGAACAGAGCAGCAACATGACATAGCAAATGCCACGTTATGCATAAGGAGGAGCTGGGGAGGTGGCGGGCAGCAGAAGCGAGCAGCGAGCCAGCAGAAGCGAGCAGCGAGCTAGCAGAGCGAGCAGCAAGCATGTATGAGCAAGGTGAATGAGCTTAAAATAAGGCGCCTTGTTTGAGCTTGGCCATTGAACAGCGAGGGGAGTTAACCAGCTAATGCAGCTCAGCTGGAGCAGATCAGCTGACGGGACAGTGTTGATAGCAAATAGCATAAGCAGCAGCTTGACTACCTGGCCTGCCAGAACTGACGCTGACGCTCGATTTCTGTCAGGTCCATTAAGTCAAGAACACACAGACAAAATAATTAAGAATTATTTGAATAGATTGCAAACAGGTTGATGTTCCTGAATTGAAATTTGGCGGTATGGCTCTGTTCAGGGAGTCCTCTGACCTTTCATGAGCACCATGAAATAGCAGAGAGTCAGAGGACAGCAGCAGCAGCATTAGGGAACGCTCACACAGTTTTAGACTGTGAGAGCTAAAATATCCCCCCAAACAAAACCACACCTGGCAATCCTCTGTGATACAGAGGATGATTATTTGACCACACGAGCTATTCCCCCCAAAACAAAATTGAGTGTCTCGAACGGTGTCGACTGAGCCGCCCTAATTTAGCGATTTATAATAGTAAAAATATTGATTTAGCGATTTATAATAGTAAAAATATTGATTAATTACTGAAATGACTAATCAAGACCGCAATAGCTAAAACATGCTGTTACCTAGATTATCTGTATTTACTGTTTGACAGTCTACAGTGTAAGCTCTATGGATAGATGATTAATCCACCTCTGAGAACGAGCTAGATGAATAAATGAACAGCTGATAGCGCATTCAGGGGCGTTAACTGAGCAGAGCGCGAGCAAAATAATGATCAAATGTGTTTTATTAACGAAACAAATCAGAGACTTGAGCTCATGGCTTCTGGGCGTCAAGAATATCCCGAACATCGGGACGGAGGTATCGTTCGTAAGCAGCAGAAACCACCGCCCCATAGCTTAAAGGGTTAAACCGGAGCGAGTACGTGTCACCGCCGTAGTTGTTGCACAATGCGTAAGAATGAGCTGTATACGGTCCGGAGGCAGTCCGCAGAAGTGAATTCCTATCACAGCAAGCTGTTTGAATCTGCGCTGCATAGTGGTAAAAGCCAGCGTGAGCAACGCGATCAGTTGCCAATGACAACAGATAACGCACGTAGCCAATATGATCGCATAAGCATTTTTATGAAAACGATTAGTTAGATAAGCCCAAATGCCACACGAATAGCATTAACAAGAAGGATGTTGCCAACACACTGATAGCTTTTAGCAATGAATATTAAAAAGGAACTTAGCTTCGTGAAGATTTTCAGAGATGAATGGAGAATGAATCACGTCGTCCTGTGTCAATATTGCAGCAGAAGCGAGCAGCGAGCCAGCAGAAGCGAGCAGCGAGCTAGCAGAGCGAGCAGCAAGCATGTATGAGCAAGGTGAATGAGCTTAAAATAAGGCGCCTTGTTTGAGCTTGGCCATTGAACAGCGAGGGGAGTTAACCAGCTAATGCAGCTCAGCTGGAGCAGATCAGCTGACGGGACAGTGTTGATAGCAAATAGCATAAGCAGCAGCTTGACTACCTGGCCTGCCAGAACTGACGCTGACGCTCGATTTATTGTAAAGCCATTAACCTGTAGCCCATAGAGATAGATGAGGGAATCAATGATGCTGAGACTTTTGCATGGTGCAGTCTCACCAGAATCATGTCCATAACTGCAATATATCGCCAAACTGGTACGTTTATTTGGTTTGCAAATAGATGTTTGAAACTTGGAACACATTCCCAATTACATCTCTCAGAAGAATGGCATTTCAGGACCGTTAACACACATGGAATTTGGCATGGAGGGGCACAGCTGCAAACATCTGTCCTGTCAGTCAAGACTTCACACATTCTGATTGGGCAGAATACTGATCATAGCCATAGTCTTAGCCAATCAGAGGCGCAGGAAGAGTGTGGTCAAGAAGGTTTCTCACGACTGCAAACTGTCACTGTTATGTCCAGCCACATCTCTGACCTCCACGTGTGCTTTACTCAGATTTAGAAAGCAGATATTGGCGTGAGTAGAAACATTTCCTCTTGAAAATGTGTGTGTTTGCAGTTGTCCGTCTGTTATTCTGTTTGACAATTGGCTTTATGCCACAGCTTCACTACTTCCTGAACTTCAGCCAGCCCTTTGTTTCCTGTCTGTCATTATTGGACAAACTGATTAATCCAGGTGCGCCTGGCCTCAGTAACAATAATCAGGCACACCTGGATTAATCAGTTTCTCCAATAATGACAGACAGGAAACAAAGGGCTGGCTGAAGTTCAGGAAGTAGTGAAGCTGTGCATAAAGCCTATTAGTTTGTATTATATTATTTCAATTTTAGCTCTAATTTTATATATGATTTGTGATTGAAAATACATTCTTTTATATTTAAAATGTTTTAAAATCCATTTAAAATGGATATTTTAAATGGATTTTTCTGTTTCAATACATACACTGCCGTTCAAAAGTTTGGGGGTCACTTTTTCTTTTTTTAAAGAAATTAATCATTTTATTCAGCGAGGATGCATTGAATTAATCAAAAGTGGCAGTAAAGACATTTATAGTGTTACAAAATTTTAAATAAATGCTGTTTTCCAAAGAATTTTTAAAAAAGTATCACGGTTTCCACAAAAATATTAAGCAGCATAACGGTTTACAACATTGATAATAAAAAATGTTTCTTGAGAAGCAAATCATCATATTATAATGATTTCTGAAGGATCATGTGACACTGAAGACTGGAAAATATACATTTTTAAATATATTCAAATAGAAAACAGTTATTTTAAAATGTGATAATATTCCACAATATTATTACTGTATGTTTGATCAAATAAATGCAGTCTTGGTGAGCATAAGAGACTTCTTTCAAAAATATTTGTAAAAAATACAATAACGAGTAACAATTATGAATTTGAGAATGTTTTCACATTTGGTTTGTGTGCTTTTGGTTCAGTGACAGCAGCAGTCGAGCCGATATGATCATGTCATCAGCATGATTTGAGAATGTTTTTGCCTGTATGGGTTTCCTTTCACTACTGTAGAGCAACTCCACACAGGCACACACACACATCCTAATTTTCCCTAGACGGTCTTTTGCCTTCCCATCACAGAGGTATCATTACCCTTACTGTTCCTCCCTCTCCTGCAGGCCAGGACTCCACGGGGCCCAGCGGGGCTCCAGCAACAGGCGCTGGGCGAGCAGGCAGGAGGGCGACTCTGTTATGCGTCTGCGGAGAGTTTGGAAAGCATGGCCGACGCTGAGCTTCCGCTGGGCTTCAGTCGCTCCAACATCCTCAGACAGAGTCTTCCACTGGCTCGATCGCCCAGCCAAGCCAAACTAAGAGCACCAGGTATGATACAGTCAGTGCCACATGTACACTTTTATGGCATTTAAAAATCCTGTTTTTTATGTTAGTCAAGCTTTCTTGCACCATTTGAGTTTACTCGCTCTATCTGACCTGTTTTTTGCTCTGTTGTGTAGAGTAACCTCCATATTGGGTTTAGTTCACATTTTCAGTCCTCTGGAAGGACATTAATGCTAAATACTGAGATGTAGGTTTTGAAGTAAATATCGCTATGTTAATATGCTCAAAAAAGTAATATTCAAAAAAAATGTTTTAAATTAGAAATATGCATTATATTACTTTTAATCGGATTTGTTATAAAATTGCAAAAGTTTGCCACACTGTATTGCTTAAAACCTATACATTTTGTTTTAATAGTTTTTCCATTTGAATTAATTATAAGCAAATACTTCACATTTATTTTAAATTCTTAATTTATAACTGTTCAAAAGTTTGGGGTCAGTAAGATTTAAGTCTTACTTTCTTAAGTAATTCTCCATTCGCCAAGACTGCATTTATTTGATCAAAAATACAGTAAAAACTGTAATATTGTGAAATATTATTACAATTTCAAATAGCTGTTTTTCAGTGTCACATGATCCCTCAGAAACATTTCTGATTATTAGCAATGTTGAAAACAGTTGTGCTGCTTAATATTTTTGTGGAAACTGTAACATAATAAATGATGTAAACATTATCAACGTCTTTACTGTAAATTTATTTAATCTTTGCTGTATAAAAGTATTAATTTCTTTGAAAAAATATTAAATTTTTTCATACAATTGAAATGCGTAAATCTTAAACCGACTGAAATATTGGTTAAAATATAGTGTATGGTGCTCTAGCAACATCAGTGTCATGGGTTTGATTCTCAGGGAATGCATAAACTGTAATTTGAATGCAATGTAAATGAAGTGTACATACATTTATTTTCCTGCATGAGACATTTTTGCTGCTTATGTTCTGGCTGGATTGACGAGGGAGTTTTTACACTCTTAGCGGTTATGCAACTATCCAGACTGAGTCTGACAAAATCAATTATATACAGTTAGTTTGACTAATATGACAAGTGGCATTAAATATTTTGTGTAGCAGAGCGTTTCACTCTTGTATCACTGCAGTTGTCTATTGTTTGTAACGGAGACTTACAGTTATGTGATAGTTTTCATTGCCGCTGTCCATATCGTTTCTGAAATGTCAGTTAGTCAATATTAAAGTCGGCATTAAACGGAAGTTGTGAAAGCCTTTTCTTCCCTCTGATGTATATCCAAGTAAAACGGCTTCTGGAACAAGAACAAATGTAGGGCGGGACTTGTCAACGGGGATGGTTGTGGTTTGCTATTGGTCAATCTCATGTGAGTGACAGGTTGCCCCGCCCTCACACCAGTAAACACATCATCAGAAAAGAAAAGAGAAGAGATGTCGCTGCAAGAGAGAAGGGAAGTTATTTTGATTCAAGATTACGAGGCACGTGAACAAAAAAAAAAAAACGGATAATTAATTTGTTTATTAAAGCAACATAGACTCACAGTTGTGTTGTTGTATGGAATATGACATTTAAGCTTAATCGATTTATTTTGTCTTTTTTCTAGCGGTGTTGTTTTTGCAGTTTGGTGACGAGACGCGGCGGGTGCACATCACTCATGAGCTGACCAGCATGGAGACGCTTCACGCGCTCATCGTGCACATGTTCCCGCAGAAACTGACGATGGGCGCGTTGCGTTCGCCCGGCACGGCTCTCCTCATCAAGGACGAGGCGCGCAACATCTTCTACGAGCTGGAGGACCCTCGTGACATTCACGACCGCTGCCTCATCAAGATCTACTGCAGAGAAGCTCCGATACGAGACACACACTACAACACACAGCACGCAGCCCACCCCGTACACCACACACACATCGCCAACGGAGACCTGCGGGTGAGTGTGTGGGACAGTGGAGAAAAACATCGGTTAGCTGTGGAACTAACATTTCATCATTTATTTGATGTCAAAATGTAGGTAGCTAATAACAAAAACATTAAATAGATTATAATTAAAGATTATTCATAAATTATCTAAATTAATTATAATAAAAAAAATGATATGATTAAGATCTTTTATTGTTTTTCACCTTAAATTATATAGTAATTCATACATTATTTACATGAAACTTAATTATATGGTAAAAGTGCATGTATTTTTATTTTAGATGTACATTTTCTTCATAAATTGTTATTCATACAAAGGTAATTCATGCTTTTTACCTTAAAACACAACATTTTTATATATGGATACCATTAAAACTTAATAGTACTATTCAAGATTGGGGTCAGTAAAAAAATAAATGGAAAGAAGTCAATACTTTTATTCAGCTAGGATTCATTCAATTGATTTAAAAAAATGTAACTAGATTTCTATTTTCAATAAATGCTGTTCTTTTGAACTCTATTCATCAAAAAATTCTGTCACGGTTTCCACAAACATATAAAGCAGCACAACTGTTTTCAACATTGATACTAATAAGAAATGTTTCTTGAGCAGCAAATCATTATATTAGAATGATTTCTGAAGTATCATGTGACACTGAAAACTGGAGTAATGATGCTGAAAATTCAGCTTTGATCACAGAAAGAAATTACATTTGAAAATATATTCAAATAGAAAATATTTTTTTGATAAAAAAAACAGCCTTGGTGAGCATAAGAGACTTCTTTCACAAACATTTTTACATAGTCTTTTACATCATTTTCACAGTATAGTGATGAGATAAAGAGATGATGATGATCATGATGATGATGAAGAATCTACTGTGTGTGTGTGTGTGTGTATGACAGAGAAAACATGCAGGATCTGTTCGGATGCTGTGAATTTATCTTGTCATATGTCATATGCATTTACTTCCTCCTGTCTTCCTCTTTTCCATTCTGTCTCTCTCTCCAGAGAGAACTGGTGTACACCTCGAGGGAATCGTCTCCCACGCGTCGTTTAAACACACTCCCGTCTTCCTCTTCTCCCTCTGGTTCTCCGTCGCGCTCCCAGTCCCGTCTTTCTTACACTGGTGGGCGTCCGTCCTCTTACGCGGGTCCCCATCAATCGCCACAGCTCCACCCCTATCAGCACCAACACCACACCCACCAAGGAGGCCACGCCCCCCAGCAGGCCCACCCTGCATTTTGCTCCTCCCCAAGTGCAATTCTGGAACGACGTGATGTGAAACCGGATGAGGAAATTACATCATCATCGAAGAGCATGGTGTTGCTAAAAAACGAAGCGATATACGCAGACCCGTACACGCTGGTCCAGGATCCTCGGCTCAGCGTGGCCTCACAGCAAGCTTTGGCTTACCGCCGTGGATCTGTACGCTCGATTGGTGGATACCCTGCCGCGGCATTACAGTGTGAGCTCGAGGGCGCCCTCTACAGGGCTGGTGGTCCCATATACGCAGATCCATATGCCACTATGGGTTTCCGCACCCTACCTCCAGCCTCGCCTCAAAAACTGTCTGATGGCAGGGATCCGTACGGGAGTCACCCAGGACGAGGGTCCCCTGGGAGGCATGGGTTTCGTAAAGATGGCACTGTGTACATAGAGAGCCCCAAGAATCGTCCAGGAGGACCCCCTCTAGAGCAGATATGTATGCTTGGGGGCCCCGGAGGAGACGGAGGGCCGATGCCAGTGTACGGTTCAACATTACCTGGAAACGAGGAAACCAGGTAAGAGTCAATTCTACTCTCCTGAAACGTCCAAAATAGCTGGTACACTAGTCATATAATGCAAAATTCACTTTTACATGGTGTATGAACATAAATGTGTGTCGGCAGTGTGTGGACACAACCACCCTATAATGGTAAAAATCCACCCACTCGTTTTATTTAATGGGATTTTCTGGGAACGTAAAAAGTTTTGCAATAGTATGTAAAAGTTTTGTGAGCAAATGCAAACTTTCTAGGGCAAACGCGAAACATAATTTTTCCTCTATCTCAATTGTTTCCCATCACCATGTCCCTTTAGGGCTCCATATTACAGCTTTAACTTAAATTTTTACTAATTTTGTATGTGTATAATGGTATTTTATATTTGTAGAGATCGTATGGAGGCCATGGAGAAGCAGATAGCCAGTCTAACCGGACTGGTTCAGAGTGTTTTGACCCGTGGACCAGACAGCCCGTAAGAAATCTGATCCTCAGTTCAATACCATTGAATATCACTATCAAACCTGAAACTTTTGAATGATGGTCAAAGCTGTCAACACTATTTTTAATGTGGTTCTTTGATTAATGCACGTCCATGCAACTCATAATATCATGTAAATGGTGTGTGTGTGTGTGTGTGCTCCATGAAGATGTGTTTAATATGTTTGTCTTGCAGTGAGAAGGCAGAAACAGCAAGCGACTGCTCTGCACCAGAGAGTGAGTACTATACTGTTTGAATGTGTGTGAATATGGCTTAAGCATTTGTGGCAAACACTGTTACAATAGTGTAAAAAACCTAAGATGATCCAGAAGATTGGGAAAAGCTCTAAATAAATACATCCATTCTGACAGATACATAATCTAAATAAATAATGAATCTGTGTTGTCGCCTGTAGTTTTCTTCTTGAAAGCTCGGTATCTTTGTCCTCTGTGCGAGATTTACACAATACCACACTAACAAACGCTATCAAAATGAAAACAATGAAACATAGGCCTATCAGATTAATGCATGAGCATTGTTCAGTTTATAAGATTAATAAAAAATGAATCTTATTGACATCAATAGGTGACTGTAATGTCTCAACAAGGCCTGAACTGTTTGTGCTTTAGAATAGCTGCTACTAAACTAATAATGTTCGCAAGAACATTTAAGTGATGCGGAATAGGCGTATCAATTAACAGGTCATTAAATGAGTGAATCATGCATGGTGTTAATAAGACAAAACTGTGCGGTGCACTGAAGAATGCTTGTCTAAACGATAAACGATAGCAGGCCTAGTCCTCGAGGACCGCAGTATGATCAGTAATGATGCTCGTTTGGATTGGTTTACATTAGCTAATGATTATTTGTGTTTCATGGCAGTTCATGATTGAGTTCATGATTTGAGTGTCAGTAATGTAAATTAATTTGAAAAATGTGTTTGTTCATGTCAGGTCTTCTAAACATTTAAACATGTAAACATTTTAAACCTGATTGAATACTGAATAAGACACTGAATATTATTATATTATATTATATTATTCTTAAATAATGTATATTTATTTAGATATTTTATTTATTTAGTTTTATTTATTTATTTAATATTTATTATATATTTTATGGTCTTTATTTTGTGTATTGATTATAATTTATAATAAATCTGACTATATATAGTATTTAATATAAATGGACTGACTTCCATTTATTTTAAATATGAAGTCAGATTAATTATAAATTATAATAAATACATTATTATTTTTAATTATATATATTTTTTTAAAAATTCTTATTTATGTTATATAATGTTTATTATTATAATTTATAATGAATAAATCTGACATATTATATTGTCATAATAATATATGTATGTATGTATATATTATATTTTTATTTATTATACTTTATTGTACACTAGAGTATATTATTTTGGGACAGTTAACTGGTGATATTTTATTTATTTCAGCTGGAAGGTTTAGAAAGAAAAAAGGTATATTGCTGTATGTCTGGTTGTCTGTCACTTTCTCGGTTTCCCCTACATCTGTTGCATTACAGATTGTGTTGCATTGCGATTTGTGCATTGCAATCTTGCGTCAGGAGTGTGTATAGAATGTTTGTTTTCAGGGATCCCAGATCCTGGAGTTTGGAAACCCTCTGTGTATGTATACAGTGTCTATAAAACGTATTCTCCTCCTTTGACTTTTATGTTTAATTAATTTCATACATGTTTTATTTAGAATTATAAAGCACTGTGTCTTGACAAGTGACGAAATTCTCAGTTAAATACATAATGATTATTATTATTATTATGTAGTACAAAAAGTCCAGTGAGGTGTACACTTTTATAGGCACTGCATATGTGTCTGTCTTATGGATTATCCCGGAATGTTCTTGTTGTTTGTGGAAACTCCCACTAACACTCTTGAATGTCAGTGTAATGTTTTCTCTTCCTTTTCCAGTTCTTAAAAGGATCTAATAAACACTTCAGAGTCTGTTTCTGAGATTATATGACAGTGTGAATGTATATGCAAACATAAGGGTCTGAATTTGAATGTGTGTTGCATGAATATACAATGTATCGTAGATGGAGTGTGTACTGAGTTGTGTTGGGCTTGTTTTTGGATGTGACTCGTATTGTACAAATCAAGACCGAATCAGATGTCTTTTGTTGTTCTGTTGTGGTTGATATGAAAATTAGACATTTTGAGAAACAGACATTTAAATAGGAATGACTTATAGGCTTATGGATGATCAGATTTCACTATTACAGTACATTTTAAATGTGTCTTTATGTAAGTTTTATGTTTAATGTATGCCTTTTGCTGCTGTGGATTGGTAGTGTCATCACCGTCTGCGCCTCTGGCCCTGATGCCCCCCCCGCCCACTGGAGTCTGTCAGCCAATAGCAATGTCCCGTTCACAGATGCAGCTGCACCTTACTGACCTGCAGCAACACACATTTGAACTGCGCAAACAGCTCACACAACTACGACAATTACAGGTCTGTTAATATATTCAATATTTTTAAAATAATATATATTTATTCCGTTTTTTTATTTATTTATTAATAATAATAAATAGTGTGCATATATATATATATATTCAATGTTTTTAAAATAATATTTATTTATTCAGTTTTTATATTTTTATTTATTAATAATAATAAATAGTGTGCATAATATATATATATATATTCAATATTTTTAAAATAATATATATTTATTCAGTTTTTTATTTTTATTGATTAATAATAATAAATAGTGTGCATATATATATATATATATATATTCAATATTTTTTAAATAATATATATTTATTCAGTTTTTTATTTGTATTTATTAATAATAATAAATAGTGTGCATATATATATATATATATATATATATATTCAATATTTTTTTAAATAATATATATTTATTCAGTTTTTTATTTTTATTTATTAATAATAATAAATAGTGTGCATATATAATATATATATATATATATATATAGTATAATGTCAGATTTATTTATTATAAATTTTAAATATATATGTATTCTTTATATATATTATATGTATTTATTTAGATATTATACTTTATTTATAATATTTTTGTGCACAAGTGTGTATTATTTTTGGGGACAGCTGGTGTTATTTTATATTTAAAAAATATTACTTTTTTGCTGTGTTTTTAATCTTGTGCACGTTGTGGGAATTAAATTTCCTTCTAGATGAATGGCAAAACTTTTAACTTTCAGCGACATCTTCATTGTGTTTAAATGATTATGAATAATCATGTCTTACAGAATAAATCTTTTTTGTTTTTAATAAATTATACTTTTTTGAGCTTTACAGCCAATTGCATGGGAAATTTATACTGTATAAAGTGTAATTTTAATATATCTATTCCTTCAAATCATATCTAACATTATTTTATTCATCCATACAAGCTTGCATGTCTGTGTATGTCTTACAGCTGCAAAACCAGGATTCAGTTCAGGCGTTACTGAGGCAGACAGAGTCTGATTTGGGAATGTGTCTGATCGAGGCATCTCGGACACAAGAAGATCCATTACAGCGTCAGCGACTTCTTGTTGAAGAAGAGAGGCTACGTTATCTTAATGAAGAAGAACTTATTATACAACAGCTACAGTGAGCTGAAGCACTTGCTGAACCTCTAAATGCTGCACACAAACTGAAAAACATGATTTATTTCCCCTGATGCGACGTGTTCCTCTGTGCTTGCAGCGATCTGGAGCGCTCTGTGGAGGAGATGAGGATGGGGGCGGGGCTTAACCATCATCTGGTGACAGAACAGGAAATAGAACAGAAGAGTCTGGAACTCAGGAGACTGGGAGAGACCGTCACTGACCTCAAGAGTGAGTGAGCGATGAAAAGGAGGAATCTGCACACAGTGAACTCAATTATAAGCATACAGAACCACACATTTATATCATTATCCTGGTGTCATGTTTATCACAGAGACCCAAAAGAGTCATTCATAGCTGGGTTTCAGTCACGTGATTATGATGACGCGCGGAATTCAGATGGAGGGCAGGGGAGTGAAGAGCGCAATGGACGAGATGGAGGAAAGTCCGTACTGTACTACTTTACACGCTATTACAAGAGAAAGATGTAAACAAAAAATCAAACATATGTTGGACGTGATCCTTACGTTATGAAGAGGTGCGATTTTCAACTGAATTGAAAGATTTTCCTGCCATCGAGGCGGTAGATATCAGCAACTACCTCGTCTTACAGACATACTTTGACTTTACAAAGTTCGTAAATGTTACACGTTACACAAACATAGCCACTTAAGTTGTATTAACTCACCATTGACGAAGTGATCACTGCACAAACGAGCATTTTCCCATTCGGCTCCTCCCGACCGCAGACGTAGGTTTGCAAGCCGTTTTTCCGGAGTTTTTCGGTCAATTTCTTTAATTTTCCCCCTTTATGAACAACAACTTTTGGTACACGATAAAAACTCCTCGTGGTTTGATCGATTTAAGTAACCATAAACGACGCAAAACATAGGCATTTTGAGTTTGTTATAGTGCTTTCTAAATACAGCAAATCACTTCCTGCCCTCCATTTGCATTTCGCGCCATGGCAACGCAGTGGCGTGACGTCATATGAAAACAAGCTATTCAGACTGCATTTCGTTAGCCTCATAGCATAATTGCCTCAGACATATTTTTCAAATAAACATGGCTTAGGCAATTATGCTATGAGGCTAACGATTTGGTTGGACTGCATGTTTTTGATTGAAAAAAAAAAAAGATTCATAAGAGTCATCTGTTTGAGAATCGGACTACACTGGTTGAGCTGTATGTTTTTGATTCACTAAAAAGAGCTGATTCAAGAATCAATTGTTCAGGACTCAGACTAAACTGGTCACGCTGGATGTTTTTGATTCACACAAAAAAAACTGTTTACAGCAGTCATTCGACCGTGAATTGGATTACTCTGGTTGTGATGTATGTTTTTGATTGACTTAAACGGATCGACTCAAGAGTCATTCTTCCAGGAATCGTAATAAACTGGTTCCGCTGCATGTGTTTGATTCACAAAAAAATGGCTTTTAAAAGTAATGACTTCAGGAATCATAATAACTCATAAGAGTCATTCTTTCTTTAAGGAGTCGGACATCACTGGACATGTTTTTGATTCACTCAACAGAACATTGATTCAGGAGTCAGGATACATTGGTTGTGCTGCATGTTTTTGATTGACTAAAAAGAGTCATCCATTAAGCAATGGGACTACACTGGTTGCACTGTACAGTATGCTTTTGATTCACAAAAAAGAGCTGATTCAAGAATCATTTGTTTGGAAGTCTGACTACACTGGTTAAACTCAATGTTTTTGATTTACTAAAAATATTTGGATCTTAAGTATGAGTCTCTCAGGAATCAGAGTTTTTTTATTCACTAAAAAGAACCGACTCATAAAAGTCATTCATTTGGGAATCAGATTACTTTGTTAACGCCATAAAATCTTGATTCGCTTATAATAGTCATTAGTTCTATAATACAACCACACTGGTCTCGATATATATATATTCAATCTATGATGTTCTACAATTTCTGTGTTTAGATCAATTCCCCAATTTACAAAGTAAGATGCGTGTGGTGTTGAGGGTGGAGGTGGAGGCCGTCAAGTTTCTGAAAGAGGAACCGCTCAGACTGGAGGCCCTGTTGAAACGCTGCAGAAATATCACCAACACCCTAACCCTTCTACGAAGGTAAAACACACACACATAAACATTCACTCCTGCTCACTTCCATGTCTGAAGAATTCCTCAGTGTGTGTTTGTGTACAGGCAGGTATCAGAAGGTGTGTGGAGGACACCCGATGACTTCAGTAGTTCAGTTTCCAGCGCGAGTGATGCTGACTTCAGCAGGAGCTCTGATCTAGATCTTCTCAACAGCCCCTCTCTAAATCTGCCCGACCTAGGGTGCACCTTATCAGGCACTGCCACTCTGACCGCCTCCATGGGCACTAATACATCAAACCCTGGTCTAACGAGTGCCTCTAGTATAGGTAAACACCAGTTTCACATTCTCTTTAATGAACTGAATCACAGTGCTGGGTAGGACTAATCTGGATTACGTAATCAGATTCCCAAAATTATACTCATTATCAGACTACAGTTACTTATTGATTACATGACTAAAATGTACACAAATTAGCATTAAATTATTCAGAATTTATTGATTTTCCCCAATTATTCTTTTTTTATCTTTTATTTTTTTACTTCCTAAACAAAGCCTATTGCTTATATATGTTCAGAAAGTCTTACAGTTTTGTGGAATTGCAAACACAGACTGGCCACAAGTCAGGTGACCATATTAAAATGGAAAATTGAGAGGCCACGCAGCATACATCCCCCCCCCCCCCCCCCCCCCCCCCACATTTTCTCAAGTTTATTTTTATTTTCATCCCTGCAGTTCCAAACCCTGACATAATATTGTTGATGGAAAACGTTTCTCTTATTATTTTTTATCAGTATGGATCAAGATTATACTATTCAAATGAATGTGATTAAAAAAGTTAGGTAATCAAAAAGTAGTCAGATTATGTTACCTAAAAAATGTGTAATGTAATAGATACGTTACTAATTTTCAATTTTTATCATGTAATTTGTATTCAGTAATAGACTACAGTTTGTGAGTAATCTAGCCAGCACTGTTGATTTATTTAATTAACTGATATATTTAGAAAATATGGAACATTTATTGGTTGATGGATGCAGGATAATGTGTTATTTAGTTCGATGATTGATTGATTATTTATTTTTTAATTTAATTAATTAATTAATTTTATTTTATGAGGTACCTCAAGTCTTTCTAACGTGCTGGGCTCCGGCGTTGGTGCCAGTCTGAGCAGCAGTGGTATTCCTGGCAGCACCACGTTGGGAAACTGGCTGGCAGGGGCCGGGGCAACAGATCCCCTCATGCCTGAACTGGACGGCACTTCCACTGGGGCGATAAAGACCAGCGGCCTGGAAGATCTGCCCATACGCAGAGAATCTGATAAAGGAGTGTCCGTGGAGGTCCGACTGGTAATGAACGCACTTGGATTTTATATTAATGCTTGCATGGATGTCAGAAAGGATATGAATATTTACAGAAGGCTGTTTTTGAGGGTTTAGTAAAGATTGTGATATTATTACATTTATAGTTGATGTTTTAAAGGCGCTTATTTAATTTCTTGTTATTTTTAATGACATCCCTCTGGGTGGGACTTATTTAAAGTTGCTGATCAATGTGAATCTGTGTATCACGGTGTGTGTCTTTAGGCTGCGGAGCGAGACTGGGAGGAGAAGAGAGCCAGTTTGACTCAGTTCAGCGCTCAGGACATCAACCGTCTACTGGAGGAAACTCAAGCTGAGCTGATGAAGGCCATTCCAGATCTGGACTTCGCTGCCAAGCAGATCACCAAACCGGCCGTCCCGCCAAAACCCCAACTATCCTCCCTCCCAGCGCCCGGTTCAGCATCCTCCACCCCCAGTTTAACACCTGAACATCAGCCCATCAAAATCCCACCAAAACCACCCAGCAAAGACGGCATCCCACGCAGGGGATCGGGTGAGATTACATTATTAACCGCACCATGAACTACAACAACTGCCTTATGATTTAGAATTTAAGTGTTTCTTGACTCGTTATAGATTCTCACAATTGCAAATATATCGCTTGATTGCTTTATTAAAGACAAAAACTGGCTTATTTTGGCAATAGAGCTTTATGATTTGACTGATCAATAGACAGATGATTAGGTTTATTGATTGAATTGATTGATTGATCAGGGGAGCTGACCGTGCCACGGTATCGTACAGACAAGCCGTCCAAGTCTCCGCCTCCTCCTCCTCCGCGACGAAGTTTCCCATCAGGCCTTGGGCTAACTACCAACAGCAGCGGAGAAGTGATCACCATAAACAAGAGTGTGAAGGTGAACAACAATTTTCAGTGTTTTTGTATAAAGCCTTATATCTTCTTAACGTTAGGTGGCGCTGTCTTTAAACTTTTTAGCCTCTTTAATGGCATGCTGTCTATTATGTGTACCAAATGTTTAGGCAACAAGTCAAAGTGTTAAAAAAAAAGAAATTTCAAAATGGCAGACAGGTGATTCATCTGATCCTTGCAAAATCGGATTCAGCTTGTCCTAAGGAATCGTAAACATAGTATTTTTTTCAAATCTCATGACCTGTAGGTGGCACAGTTCCCAAATTTGGCAGGTCCCATCAAATCATGGAGCTGATGAAGTCTACCAAGTTTTGTTTTGATAGATTCAAGTTTTGCCGAGATATAGCATCTAATCTATTTCATCATAACTAACTCTACATCATCATAACTTTTGAACAGAAAGGAATATCAAAATTCTGTTCAGTCATTTCTGTCCAGCTCAGTCCAGTATACTCATCTACAATTTTGGTAAGAATTGAACAAAATTTGAAGAAGGAGTAGCGTAGTTACAAATCCAAATGCTTTTGTTTTAAGCAGATGCAAAATAATGAATGTGTACTTTGGCTTTGTACTCGATCAGCTGTTTATTAGATTGCCCTATTCATGCACATGTTGTTTTTGTAGAAGATCGAGAACAGAGAGGAGGCTGAAGTACCGACCCAATCCCAGACGCCACCCGTCAAACTGAGACGCCCATCGACCTCGGACGGGCCCCGACCTTCATCCACACCTCCGGTCATCGCCGCTTCTGGGAGGAAAGAGGATGAGGATGAAGATGAGAAGATAATGGCAGAGCTGGAGGTAAAAAGCAAATATACGGCTGTCGAAAGGATGAAATAGTGTCCTTGTCACCATTTAGTGTGTGTGTACGGTATCTACATTTAGGAGCTACTTAGAGAGATGACACTGAGGTACAGAAACTCACTCCTGATTGGTCGGTTGTTCAGTAAATGCATACGTAATCATTTTGATTGTTAGCTTTGCGAATAATGTTTTTTTTTTTTCATTCTTCTCCAAACCCAAACACGTCAATGCGCTAATCCACACACACCAACACGACAGGCGTTTCAGAGAGCCCCAGTGAGACTGAGGGTCACTGCTCAGGCCAAAACCCCTGCCGAGGTCACTCCTAACAGTGTTGACAGGGCAGGCCAGTGGATCAGCAACTCTCTGTGGAGAGAGGTAATGTGTTAACTGCCAAACCTCTCTCTCAGGCTATAACCTGAGGTTCTGAGGTTTTTCCTGAAGCTTACTAATGCACTCTGACACCAAACCTATTAATCTGCCATCTCTTCAAGTCTTTAACCAGCTGTGCTGATGCATGTTATTACACAGCTTGAATGAAGTTTAAAATCAAACTGGGAACTAAGTGGGGTTTTTTTATTACTTGTTTCTTGACTCATTATATCTAATATGTGAAAGTCTGTTTCCACCCTAGAGACTTATTTATCTTAATTGCTTTATCATAATAGAATAGATTAGTATATTAAATACTATACAATAATAATATCATTTAACTTAATAATAATATTAATATTTAATAATAATAATAATAATATTATATAAAATATTAATATATTTTATATATATAAAAATATATTTTTGAATGGCACATTTCTCTTAATTGTTTTATTTAATAATAATATGATATTACTAATTAAAGCAAGTATTAAGCAATTACATATTATATAATAGTATTTTATTTAATAATAATATAAAAATAATAATGATTATGATTGATTATTAAGCAATTAAGTGTTAAGCAATTATTTTATGATTATAATAATATTATTTTAAATAATTTATTTCATAATTTTATTTATATCATGTATTCATATTTTATAATATATTATAATTTAATAATTAAATGATTATTATTATTAATTCTTTTAATAACTTTATTTTTTACCTTGTGACTTTTTATATTTATACAAAATCACGTATTTCCTCAAAGCAATCAATAAAAAAACATAAATTATGTAACTGCAAAAGGTACATGCAAATAATTATTATTCAAGAAATAACATTCTTTTCTTTCTAAGCTAAGCTGATGGAATAAACAGCTTGATATCAGTCAAGGTCATCTCTCTTCCTCTCTCTCTATCTTTTGTTATGTCAAACTGCCTCTTCTGCCAGTAGAGACAGTAATGTTGTGACACTGTAGTAGCGAAATCAATTTTAACAAGCTTAAAGTCTTTAAAGCAAAACTTTCAAGAGCCAAGAACAAACAGGCAACGCAAAAAACATGTCAGTTACTGCAGTCTAAATGAACTGTACCTGCTCATCTGTCTCCACAGCCTTTCCAGACAGTATATCTTTCTTACCTTTGTACTTCCCTCAATGTCACTCATTCCGTTTACTGTATCCACAAACCATTTGTTACAGAAAACTATAGCAGTAGTGACCAATAAAAAACGTCACAGGTCTATTAGACAGTGTCAGTGTCACCTGAGATATCTGGACAGCCTGTGTTTGTGTATGTACTGTATGTGTGTGTCTTTTTCTTCATTGTGAGGAGTACTACTAATCTCTCGCAATGAAAGAAAGAGTGTAGAAGTGCGAAACTGTGCTAATATCAGCTTCTTTGCACACATGCAGGGTGTCAGTCAACACTACTACTGCTGCATGCTGGTCTATAGAGATTCCCTGTGCCTCTCTCTTTCATTCAATTAGTGTTTCTATTTCTATTCCTTAGGCTCAGTTCCAAAACCTAGCGAACTGCGTCCACATATGCAGCAACCGAACCGGTCGCTAATGGATCAGTGACTGATTTGAAACGCTCTTCATGGTTCACACGATTAATGCACCTCACGTGAAATGCAGAAGAGTCTCGACTAATGCTCAGTTTGTACACATTTTACATGTAGTTATTATAGTAAATATATAGTACTATATAAAACAGAATGGATGGATCATCATTCTTCATTATTATTATTATACCCTCTGGTACTGTTCGCGTGTCTGTCAAAAATTACAGATCTTTTATTTTATTTCAGTGACAAATGATTGTACTGTATTATAGTTCGATAATATATTTTTATTTCATATTTTGTATTTTTAGGGGATTTTATGATTCTAAGTTATATTTATGCAGTGGTTATAATCCATTTATTCACATTTTTGAGCATAGACCTCAAAATGCAATTTCCAACTTAAACGGTCATAAATCTTGAATGCTTTGGCGCACAGACGTAAGTTTGCTCTCTTTTTAAAGACGACACTTGGCAGATTATTGCTGAAGTGCAAAAAAGTTTAAAAAGGTGAACTTGAAAAAAGTTGCATTTATTGTTATGAAAAAATGCACAAAAATGCCATTTTCAATTTTTATATGAAATATATATCACGTTTAACTCTAAAACTGTGAGAAAAGTAAAGCCATGAATATAAACAAGTTGTGTTCCAAATTCGAGGTTTATATCTCAAAAAATAGAATATGTTTTGGGCGCAGTACCAAACATTTCCACTATATGAAATTTGTCATTTCATCTCCCATTTATTTTCCAATGCACACATTTTTTACCTTTTTTTTTTGGCCATAATTTTTTTCAGGACCATTTAACCTTTTCGATTCATGGCCATAATTTTGTGTGTGTGTTTACACAGCAAGTGCCGTGTAAACTCCGATGAACAAAAAAATGTTTCCGACCAGCACCAGAGACATTATTTCTCACATTGTGACTTAATTTCACAATGACTATTTCTTATTTTAAACTTTCTCACAATTCACTCTAAGGCGAAGATGGGCTTCCATTCCACGACTAGCATACCATCTTAGCAATCAAAAACATAATGCAACTCGCATATTCTTCGTAAAGAATGACGTGTAACAGCCTTCACATCAGAAGCAGACGTGTTGCGTTGGTGGTTAGCGCACTGGGTTTTGGAGCAGAGCTTTCATCGTGACACTCTTCCAAACAAATGTGAATTATTCAAACTCAGTCCCATGGCTAAAACAAACACGGTCATTTTCCAAACCTGCTGTTGTTCTCTCTGGTTGTCAGCCTGTAGGCACTCCTCCGGGCTCGGGGAAACTGGTTCAGTCGTCTGCAGCGTCTCGTCTTCGACACCTACAGCAGAGCAGTCTGGAGCGCAGGAGCAGAAAACAGGAGGAATTCCCTAAACTACAGCAGGGTCAGCAGCAGGTATTCCACTTCTAACAATCGCTGCGCCCTGCTATCCCGCAGACTGACGCTCTCGCTCTGATCCACGCTAAAGGCACGAGTCAGAACTGTCGTTAAGTGCAAACTCATCCGTCGACTCCAATGACTGTAACACACGCAGCCGAGCACGCACTTCCAGATTAGCTGCTCCATCTCCAGTTGCTGCACAGATGTTATGGTTGTCCGCTGTGCTGTGGGGTTCAGTATGCACAAGTTTCTCTGATTTCCCCCGTACGCTCACAGATTACGTATTTTTCTCTTCCATGCGACATGAACTATTGTTCCAGGAAAACCTAACAGCACAATATAGTGTATCACAACGCCAAAAGACATAGTGTCTCTGTTTGTGGTTTGTTTCAACTCTTGGAGAAATATGTGGTACGCAAGTACACAGATGCAAAAGCGTGGAATAAAAACACACACGTGAAATCAATAAGCGCCTACATACATTAGAGTTCAAAATTATGGGGTCGGTAAGTCTCTTATGCTCACTAAAGTTGCATGTATTTGATCAAAAATGCAGTATTGTGAAATATTGTTACAATTTAAAATAACTTTTCTATTTGAATGTAGTTTAAAATGTAATGCAAAGCTGAATTTTCAGCATCATTACTCCAGTCTTCAGTGTCACATGATCCTTCAGAAATCATTCTAATATGCGGATTTTCTGAAGCATTTGTTGTTATTATCAACGTTGAAAACAGTCGTGCTGCTTCATATTATTGTGAAGTATTTATTTGATGTATTTACTGCCACTTTTGATCAATTTAAAGCTAAATAAAATTATTAATTAAAAAAAAAAAATCTTACTGACCCCAAACTTTTAAACTGTAGTGCACTTGCGTAGAATATATTTCAGGCCTAAATGTCCTTAAATGTTTCAGAGATGGTGGTTGGCATCTCAGCGGTGTTACACATGCCAATGAAGTCGTAATGATGCCAGCTAATCGGGCAAATTGAAGTCCCTGTCCTTGTGCCATCTTTCAGCTTTCTTTTCGATCTCTTTCACTCTTTGTCTATAATCCTTTAAGTAAATATACTGGTCTGAAGCAGTGTTTTGATGAGTACTCAAGCTGTCAGGTCCCAGTCGAAAGAACCTTTTGTACTGTTCTTGTGACAGGACAGGTCAAGGTGATATGGCATACGTGACCCAGATATTTTCTGACATTGTCACTGTGATGCTTTAATGTGTCAAAGCTTTTGAAAGATTGGTCAGAAAAGAGAAGGAATTGGAGATGAGACATGTGCTTTGATCATGTTCAGTTTTGGCTAGCTACCAACCTGGAAAAAAGGGGTTTAGTTTAGGATGTTAAAGTGAACATAAAACTGCTTTTGCAATGTCTTAATCTGAGTTTGGTGAGGAAAAAAATATTTGGTTTAGATTTTATCCATCAGAAATTGATTGGATTGTAAAAAATAAAATAAAAAAAGTTTTTTTTTTTTTTTTTTTTAATTTTTTTTTTTAATAATGCACACTAAGTAATGGACAAAAAGACCAGGACCACATATTTGGAAAGTAAAATGACCCTAAAATGAAAATGAAGTCATCATTTACTCACCCTGGTGTTGTTCTTATGCTGTATGCCCTTCTTTCTTTAATGGTCCACAAAAGGAGAATAAAAAAAAAAAAAGTCCTATATAATGCCAGTGAATAGCAACCAGCATCAAGATTTTTAAAATAGACGCAATAGCATCACATTATGATCCCATGCGACATGTGCCGTATATTCTGGGTTTATACGATAGGGTTTAGTGAAAAACAAAGTGAAATTTAATGTATTAATTTAACGAAATCCTTGGCCTTGGCTGCACAACATGCATGTTCATGTGACTCTATTAGTTCACTCCGTATTGCCCAGAAAAAACACAGATGTGAGAAATCAAGATTAACAAAAAAATTGACATTGTATACAATACCTAGAAATCCCAAAAGAGTATCCGTGTACTTCCTTCACTGAGTCTAATATCACCGGTGACAGATGTGAACACAATAACTTTTTGTTACTACAAACAAGGTACATAAGTTGCGTTTCATGTCGTGTTTTTGTTCATCTTGATTTCTCATAACTTGTGTGCTTTTTCTGGGATTTGTTTTCTAAGAGTAGGACAAAAACAAAACAGCTTTTAATTTAGAATCACACAACGTCAAGCGATGTGAAGAGTGAAGAGGAAAAGTTAACACTGCAGTGTTCCTGTACTCTTGAAGTCTCTATCTATCAGAGCAACTCGCAAAGTCAGCGTTCCCCAAAATCCATCCCGAAAGAACGAGAGGAGAGAGAGAGATTGCATGCAAACCCTGAGGGAAGGAAGTGAAAAATGGGATGGAAAGACAGAGAAAAGGATGAGATAAGTTTCTCTCCTCCATCTTCTGTCATCTCTCTCTCTCACTCCTGCAGACTGTGCGCTCAGAGTTACCCAAGCCTGCTGCAGTCGCTTTAATTCACTTCAGGGGGAAATTAATGTCTCCAAAATGAAAATAGTGAATCTTTTAATTGAAAGCGACATGACTGCAAGATGAGATATTTTACAGACAAGCCAGTTAAAGGAACAGATCACCTAAAAATGCTAATTGTCATTTTCCTCATGACTTTCTTTCTTTTGTTGCAGGAGAAAAAAAAGTGTGTAAGCTGTTGTTTTAAAGGTGAATTTTATTTTTTATTTTTATACAAAAAAGCACCATAAAAGCATTAGAAATGTAGTCCATACAACAAGAAAGAAAGTCAAACAGGTTTTTGTATGTGAATTTCACACAGAAAGAGATAGCTTGTGTCTGTCTGCGATTCCTCTGTGTGATTGGATGGATTCCTGTCCATGTGTTGTTGTCAGGGATACCTGTCACCAAGAAGTGTTTCTAAGGCACAGACTGAGGGAATTAAACATGGATCGAGGCAAACAGCCCCTCTATAGGCCAATTCCGATCATGCCGACAGACGACAACAGAAACTTTGTGGGGTTTTGTCGGATCAGTGTGTCCCTGTTGGCGTTTGTCTGCGCTCGTTTTCGCCGATTGAACATGTTTGTTCAATTGGCGAAACAGCATTTGTCTGGTCGTGGAATGCCTGAGAAGTGACTGTAATCTAGTGATTGTCGGCGTCTGTGGTTACGGTGAGAATTGGCCTTATAGCAGCCAGTCTGTGATTGCACTCCACACATTTTATAAACTGCGACTGCTCACTTGGTTAGATTTTATTCATCTAAATAACAGGAAGGTTTATAGAGTGGTATGCCATCATACTGTAGCTTAAACAGCATGGCACTATATAGAAACACCAAGGTCATGATTCCCAGGGAATGCATGAGCTGATAAAAAAAAAGTGTCTACCACAAGCATAAATGTAATGGTATACTGTATGCTGATTATGCTTATGGATGTGATCCAAGTTTGACTCTTAATATGAAACCTGGCAAAAAAAAAACCTCTTTTTCGTTAGTCAAAATGAGTGCATTGCACAATGGGATGTACTGTAGAATCCATGCAGCAAGTGCTTTATATTATTTACATACTGTACAGTACACAGTATACTTGGTGCCAGTATTATTTGTATACTATTATAGTATTTATTCATATTTTTAATGAGCTTTTTTAATTTTTATATTTTTGGTATTCATTTAAATTTTATGTTTCAATTAATGGAAAGATTTTTAATAGTTTTAGTGTTAGTTATACAACATCGCTTGATGCATACTAAAATAACAAATACTGTAAGTGGTATGGCAGTATGCCATTATCAAACTACCCTATATTATAGTCATGCCAGGCTTTAAACTCCAGAAAAACCTTGTGAATTCAGTTAATGCACATAGAACTGTTAAATCAGTAGTTTGTGATTTGTTGACTTGTTGATTTGGTGCCGCATTTGCACTGCAGGTCTTCCGATTTATTGACTATATCCGTCGTCAGGCTTACATCTTCTTTTAAAAGTGACCCATATCCGATATCTGGATTTACACTCTACACTTGGCGAAACAACCCAAGGTAGGCGCACTGACCTGGAAAAGCTTAGGCCGAAAAGGAAGTAAAAACGGTGCAATTTGCAATAGACTCAGACGGAATGCTAAAGGCTCAAAAGAAATCAAACTTCAGCATTACTCCACTGGGTTGAGCCTTCGTCCTCCATTGCGCCATTGAAAAGAGTCATGTGATCGCGGTTGAGTTGACGTCATTCGTCATTTTTTCAATGGTGTACGACTCACATTGATGGGAACATACACACAAGAATGAGGCCTGAAACCGACCTGACACTATTGAACCCATGTGCTTTTTTTCCTGCTTGCACAATCGAGTCATATTTGTGCCACACACAAATTGGATTTGGGTCACTTAAACAATGTAATGTAAATGCGGCCTTGATGTACTTACTTTAAACTCGATATACTAACTGAATTGCTCCTTTATTTTGTTGCAGCGAGCGAGCGATTAAAACGCTGCTAAGACTGCAATACTGTACAAGACTTTGTTTGTTCTCTAAGGCGGCGTTCACATTAGTTTGATTCTAATCCCCTTCAGGATTGGCCTGGATGTGTGTGTGCAGGCAGCTGTCTTTATTAGCGCCGACAGCAGATCAGTCTTGTGTGTGTTCAGTGCAGTTAAGCACTGCGGTCTCGACCTCAACGGGACACGATTCACAGTCATCAGTCAATGACCAACAGCTCCGGCTTTGTTCCCAGGCAAGGATCTGGCTAATTTGGCACGGCACAAACTCTCCCGGAAACAGTCTTCGCTCGGGCTTAATGGGAGGTCTGTGCCGTGAATCGGGCAACAGACTGTCTGGACGCTCGCTCTGTTGACCATTTTGGCTCGGTGAGAGCGAACACAGAAGGCTGTGAAGAAGGGAATATTTATTCTTTAAAGGTCAAATTGTTTGTTGACCCTGAACGCTAAGAAATGTTTGTTTGTGCCATTTTCAGTGGTATGTGTGTTTGTGTCTCGGGTTTTGTAGATGTTTAATACGGTGGATGGAGTCGTGCACTTGCTTGTAGAGACGCTCGCAGTGCAGCTTTCGCTGAGTGCCCTTAAACTAACTGAGCGCTGTGGGGAGCAGTGATGTGGAAAAATTATTCAGCCGGATTTTCTAAGCAGAGTTGGTGCTTCTGAGCTTAGCTTGCTCATTTGTTAGCAAATACTTTATGTACATATATTCCAAAGCTGCTCTGGTAAATCATTATTTTATCAGAAAGAGAGAGAGAAAAACGACGGATTAAAAAAGTGCCACAAGGTGAGAGAAATAAATGCTGCTAGTCAGACACAAAGATTTCCAGTTAATTTGTCAGTCCACAGTGAAAGCAAAAATGCAGTGATGTCACTCAACCACAGCCAATCAGAATATATTTGATGTTGAGTGTACAGTTGGAATGGAATTTTGGACCAATGAGATTTCGTTATGGGTGTGGCTTTTTTTTGGTGGTGGTTGCAGCTAGTAAAAATCCTCAAATTAAAATCATTTCAGCTTCTTTCTTTTTTTTTTATGTCATCAGCCTAGGTAGGATGGTAAGTTTAGATACATTTTGTGAATTTGGTTGCTCTTCTGTCGGTGGCATAGTTCAAAAATATCTCTCTTCCCTTCATATCTCAAATCACAATCTGAATATTAATGAATAATTACAGACAGGGAGTATCTACCTGTTTTCTGAGCACACTGATATATCTTGTACTCCAATCTTGTACGTCAGTGTTATTTTAGTATTATGTATATACTATTGTAGTATTTATTAATAATTTGATTTAGCTTTATTTTTATATTTTCTTTTCTAACGTTTTAGTAATTGTATGTGCTTTTGTCATGTATTTTTATTTTAGTTTAAGTAATTTAACTTATTTTTAATTTCAATTAGTTGCCAAGGCAAGGTATTTTCATTTAAGTTTATCATCTAATATTTATATTTTATTTGATATCTGCTTTATTTCAACTAGCACATTTTTAATAGTTTTAGCTTTAAGTGTAAAAGTCCATGTATTTGGCTGAATAACTATTAAGCTACTTTGATAACCTCAAAATGATCTTTTTACATTGACTATCACAGAAACTATGAAGAAAGACTGCCTCCCAGTGACCATTGTATGAATGACAAAAAGGAGGAAGGCAAAATCACTCATCTCTCTCTGTCTATGCATTGCTAAACGTTTAGTGGAAACAGAAAGATTGCACTGGAGATGACAATGTATTGATTATTTCTTTCTTTTCTCTTCTTTTATCCACTCACCTGTCCTAACTTGCTTGTATTTTATCCCCAGTCCATCCTTTCCTGACCTCTTCTCATTATGCTGAGGTTATAAGTCTTCGTATCTATATATGTTGTATATACAACACAAGCCCTGTATCTATTCCTTTAGTCAGAGTCATACAATTCTTCCTTTATAAGTAAAGCTAGTTATGACATTTTTTAGATTAGTTGAAATAAAAGCAAGTATTTGGATTCTATTTAGGATAATGAATAAGAATTTAATTGACTTTATCCAACACACTCCGTTTTTGGTTTCATAAAGGAAGGACATTTTTTTTATTTTTGGTCAAACCTCCATTTCCTTTTCTGTCTCACGGCCTCAGATTGTCCTAGCATTGCCAATCTTTTTTTTTTTTGTACTGGCATGTTGACTATCAGCCTCCAAGTATTGCCCTGAGTGGTCCTACATTGCCCCCCTTTTACCCTGAGATCTGATCCTATCCAAGGTGAACGCTTCATGGCGACGATGACCCTAGAAACCAGGGGACGCACAGGTGACCTCTGAGCCTAAATCACACATGGAAGTAAAGCATCTCCTCCGCTAAAGCAAGCACAACACATCAGTACTGAAGAGCTTTGACCAAGGTACGAGTCTAATTGTAATTTTATAGTAAAAAAAAAGCTGGTCGTATGGTTACAAATAAGAGCCAGTATATGTACACTGAATAAACAATGTAAACTAGTCAAGTCATCTTCATTTATATAGCGCTTTTAACAATGGAGATTGTTTCAAAGCAGCTTTACAGAGATAAACTATATGGTATACTAAACATGAAGCAGTTACAATCCACTAATGTAAACAAACTTAATACAGTAATATACAGTAATCGTGAAACATTTTAGGGTGAATCTCATGAAAACATGCCCATATCGTATTTGATCCCAAAACTTAAGATTTAAGCTTCTTTCAGGACTATTGAAATGTTTTTCATTTCTTTCATGGCATTTTCGCATAATTTCACCCCAAAATGCATCCTCATTACATAATGCATTTTAAACACCTTTTATTTTTGAGTTATTTGGTAATTCCCATTATTCGAAATGTTAATTTTTATATTAGATGCACATTATTGCTATATATATAAAACATATAAGCATGTTTTAATGATATAAATACCTCTTATATGTCAAAATATTAAGGAAAATTTGATTTCTGACCCCTTTAAGCAAAATATTTCTTTCTTTCTCGTTATTTTGGGGTGAAATATGACTACGAAATGGTTGTTCTTGACCGGTTTCATGAGATTCGTCCTTTAACTGATGTGTAGTTGGGTCAGTTTTAGATATTAGCTTAAGTGCAAATCAGACTGTCGAAATGAATCTTAGTAGACTTGACTTTCTATAAAGAATATTCTCTATTCAACTAGAAAATAAATGTTACCTTACAGTTAAATACAACATCTTCAAGCTATTGACAAGATAATTGGTGAATATTTATCAAGAATAAGCTAGATATTTTATATAAGATGAACTTTTGTATTTTTATACTAAAACGGGAGAATGTGTAAACATTAAGAAGATAACTCGAGGTACATGCCTTATCCAAATTCATATTGTATGAGTTCTTGAAAAGCGTATGATGAAGAATGAAACCTGCAATCTTAATACTATATGAATCAAATACATTTTCTGTGTGTTTCCCCCAGTGGATTTGAAGTGTGAGAGCAAAAAAATAAGCATTATATTTTGTTATTTGACAGCATATTTAAATGTATGCGTGAAGCACTTTGTGTGTCACTGGGACGTATTCGCAACGTTGTCGTATGATGAATAACCAGTTGACGGTGAATAATAAATTGCTATAGACTGTTTAGATCAGTGTTCGGATAAATCGAAATTACATTCATATTTGATGAATGTCAAGGGTTTGTAAACAACTGCCTCACTGCCATTGTTTCTCCATTTTATGCTTAGTATATATATATATATGTTTATATATATATATATTTAAAAGATGCTATAGTTTGGCTTGGTGGTCGTGTCCATCAGATGCCTAATACATACCTCATTACTTTCTTTTTCGTGTCTTAAAATGACTTCACTGAAGTAGAATAGACCCAAACTCTGATGCGAGCACCATATGCTGTGTTAACACACTGACAAATGTGCAAAATACAACTGTGTAACTGTATATAAACTGTATGATCATGGATATGTTCATTTAGGGTATTTTTTGTAAACTTTTTTTTTTCTACCAAAAGATTTTGAGAGTTCTGAACAGCATGTAGATAGATATCTTCTCAAAGTCTGCATGCAGAATCCTCTCTCTGTAAGTTCTGTTTACAAGTGTAAGATAGATGGATTTCCGAATGAATCAAGAGACATTTTTTTTTTAAAGAATAAAAATAGTTCTATGTGAGTAGACGGGTCAATCTGATCCTTTTCACTGTTGTCTAATCTGTAACAAACCATTCAAGCATTCCAAACCGCTTTTGGTGATTTAACATGTCTAAAAAAAAGTAACCCCCATTTTTCATTAATGCAACATATAGAATGTATATAAATCTATCGACAACTACTTGTGATAAAACAATAACAAAGTGTGAATGCAATGTCGACCAATAGAAATATATCTACATGGAAATGTTATAATGCAAAAGTTGTTTTAATGTTGAAAAAACCTCGTCTGGTTCTGTATGTACAAGAGACCGTTGGTTTAGAATGTTCTCGTGCTGTTTTTGTGACTATTAAAGTGAATATCTTCTACTACAGACTTGTGCGCTAATTGTTATCCAGAAATGCTGTACTTTTATATGTGTAAACTGCCAGTTTCCCAGTATAAAATCTATATGCATGTAGAAAGAAAAAGACTGATTTGTATGAAAAAAATATATATACACATACTAGACGAAGCTAGTTTTCAGTAGTTGGTGTAAGCGTACAGTAAGCATTTCAAGAATACATCATGTAAATATCGATATAAAGTGTCTAAATGTAAAATGTAGCTGGAAATCCAGTTGTTCAAGGGTAAATCTTATAAAACATTTCAAGAATGTGCCATATTTCACCCCAAAATCTAAATAAAACTATAAGGAATTCAGTTATAACTCAAATTCTTCCAATTATATTATCCAAATATCTTTTAATTTTTGGCTAAATATGAAATATAAAAGCACATGCTCTTGACAGGTTTCTTGTGTATTCCCTAAAAGTGTTTGCTGAATTTAAAATAAATAGTTGAACTTAATTTAGAGCTTTTTGTAGCTGTTTAAATATTTCTTGTAAACTGTTTTTGGCTTCATTAGTTGAGTCCGTTCCTCTGGGAATCCTTCGAGCTGCGTGTGTTTCACAGAGAGATGTCTGACGACACGAGAAGCTGCTGTGCCGGTTTCCATTTGGCGCTTCGTCTACCTCCGTCGGCTCTGATATACGGCTGGTTCCTCAAATCTGCACACACACACACACACAAATGCAAATACACGCAGTCAGACTCAGAATCCTCCCCTGATGAAGTTTGTGAAAGAAAGGGAAACATCAGATCTATAAGGCGGAGCGGAGCGAGGCACTTGCAGGAAGTTCAGTTACAGAAGAGCAAAGCTGACATGGATAGCAGTGTCTAGATGAAGAGCGATACCTTCAGAGACAGAAGAGAGAAAGCAAGAGACGGTTATACAGAAGTCCCATCGCAGAGCAGACGAGAGGAACGCTTCCCAGAACGGGCCGTAAACGGCACCGCCTGCAGAGCTGGGAACCAGACAGAACACGCAGATGTTAGAGGAAGCCAGAAATAAGACAAATTGAACTAAATACACAATATACTCGGAATATCAAAAGCAGAAAAATAGAGTGACAGAAATAACTGACAAAATGACGAGTGAAGAGAGAATTAGACTAGGCAAAGAATCCCAAGACACTATGAGGAACGAAGAACAAACGCTCTGTGTGAAAATATCTGCTTAAACAGATCGTTCTGGCGATCTTTCATTCTATATCAGTGTACAGTTAGGCTTATTAACAATAAATAAATTTAATTTCAATATATTTATGGTTTATAAATATATATTTACATCTATAATATATTTTTTCTAAATGTATAAATGGGTGTTTATACAAATGTATATATTAAAATAATTATTTAAAAATATATTTACATTTCTGAATCTTGAATCATGTATATATAAATGTCTTTCAAAATATAGTTTATAATATATTTACATTTTTATAGTATTAATGGGTCTTTTCAAATGTATATAAACTAAACATCTAATTTTACATGTATAATATTACATTTTTATAGAAATGTATTTATTAAAATGAACATTTCATTATATTTATACATTATAAATATGATATTTTTTTAATGTACTGTATTTAGGAGTATTTATACACATGTATATTATATAAATGTTTAAATATACAGTATTTATAGTAAATATACTTACATTTTTATAATACTTTAAGTCTATAATACTATATTATAAACTCTAAATATATACATAATTATATTTACATAAAAATATATTTTAAATTCTTATAGTATAAATGGGTCTTTATACAAATGTACATATTTTTCAATAATTTTGTATACATTTATATTGTAAAAAAAAGCATTTGTATAAAGAAACATTTATGCTATAAAAAATGTAAATATACATGTAAGTACAATATATACTTTTCTATAAATAACCATTTATTCTATACCAATTTTAATGATAAATGTGCATGTTTATTTATGTATATATGTATATATATATATATTGTGTGTGTGTGTGTGTATTATGCACATTTATAATTAAAAAATATTTTTTTCTATGCATCATTATAGTACTGTGCATAAAATTATGGCTGTCAATAGAATCATTCTTTGTAGCAATTGACCTTTCTTTAGAAAGCAGAATGAAACAGCAGAATTTCAAATTTAGTAAATTGGGATTTTATTTTATTGTTTTAAATTATTAATTTTTTTCCTGAACTTTTCTGGGACCCCCTACTTTAAGCACACGAAACCTGGTGTAAAGGTACAGTATGTGTCAGGTTTTATTTGCGCCATTTATAATAAAACCCCAAACCGTGGTAAAATCACTCATTCTTATTGTAATATTCAAAGTTAGGGCGGTGGTTTTATCCACCCACAGCAAGTCGACTTTTGAACCCTGACCCCAGACTGACCTGTGATGATGTCCTCGATGGCTCCGTCTTTGCCCTCTCGCACGAGCGGTGTCATCTGCCGGCGCTTCAGCTCTGCGATCAGATCCACCTGTGGCAATCGTGGAAGCGCTGGCATCTGTGGACATCAACAGACCGGTAAGATGTCTTTATATCTCACCCCCTGTTCTCAAGTGTTTCGGTCTCTGTCTATCACGCATTACCTTATTACTCACTGATGTGATGGAAGGGTCAGAGATGGATAAACATACGCTGTCATCATTCTCAGAGAATTTCTTCCGCTGTTCGTTCTCCTGTTCGGCCAGCTTTAGAGAAAGAAAGATTCATCAGTAAATCAACATGCTGGTGGACAACAATAACAACACTGGCTAATATTGTGCTATAACCCCTTGCTCTAGAGGAGTTTATGATGAATCTTTATCCATTTTTATTTATTAATACTTATTAAGGAAAAATGGTGAGGAACTGCGATAATGAATAAATGAATGATCCAAAAAGTACTTATGAAGTTTAAGGTGATTAATTCAGCTGACACTTCAAATGCAAAAAGCACTTGAAAAGGGAGTCTGTATTAATGAGTACTTTATGTAGTCATAACCCCTATTTTATATAAGGGCAAGATGTCAAGTTGCAGTATTTAGCTACCGGGGTGCCTCAGGGCTCGGTGCTTGGACCACTTCTCTTCTTCATCTACTGTCATCATTAGGATCTGTTATATTTTTCAAAAATTATATATAAACAATTATTGGAATATGTTTTAGAAGAAAATACTATTTCAGTCTTG